CACCGACCCAGAATCCCTGAGCCTCAGGCTCTACGCTGTCTCAGACACCTTCTTCACCTCAAGCAGCCATTGCTCCATTAGCCTGCATTTAACCCAACATCTCAGCAGGAACACACAGAACTATAAAATACAGCTTCCTTGTAGTAGACATTACCGTCTGAGACCCAACCAAGGCCTCCCTCTCTCCTACAAAAAAGACTCCATAGGCCGAGAGTCCAGATTCTTCCTCACAGATAGGACTTCTCCAATCCACGGGTTCAGTGCTCCCGGACCATCTACAGAATCTAAGAGGAAACCCAAGCTTCACTACCTAGATGGGCTCGAGGAGGGGAACCAAGCCCCAGCAGAGGTGACTCAGTAGAGAAAGGCTGAGGCTGGCTGTGGCCCCCGCATCTGTCTCCGGTGGGCTGGTGCAGAACAGTGGCACTTCCCCACAGGAACAGAGAAGTGCCCTCTCTCTCCCTGACCCCCAGTCCTTTAACCTCCTCTGGCTGGGCCAGTGATTCCTGCTCCCTAGTCTGTGGCCTGGCTGGAGAGTGGCTGGGATACTCTGGGAGGCGGGGGGCGAGGATGATAGGTCACTGACTACAGACGGGACACCAATGTGATGCTGAACCAGGCAGGTCCCATTTCCTGAAGCTTGGATGGCTGCCGCCGCTGCACCATCCCCCAGAAGACAGGCCTCACATGCAGCAACAGCACATGCGTGGGGAACAAGACCAGGGCAGGGGACCCCAAGCGTCTTTTCCACAGGGAGAGGGAACTATGTACAGCGGGAGGAGGGCAGAGTCTGGCCAGGGACACCCCCACTTCATCTCATTCAACCAGGAGATCAAAGCGCTCAGCAGCTTCAAACTCGGCATTCATGGCCGCGGCCCACTCATCCAGTTCCGATTTCTGGGGGAAGAGAAATGGGGGGCAGGTGAGTGGCGAAGGGGGCATGTCAGCTGTGCATCTCCACCCATATTCTGCAGGCAGTGCCTTTCTACCACAACAGCCAGGGCTGAGCCCCGGCCCTGCCTGTGACCTGATGTGTCTCCCCATGTGTCTGACATGGTAGCAGAGGAAGACCCCTGCCCCTCACTCACCAAAATCTCCGGCGCCTTCTTCTTCTTTCGTTTCTCTTTCACAACCAGAGGGGAGATTCCAGGGAGAGTCGTGTCTGGGGCCCAGGGCTTCACAGGGACCCTGGGGACCTCAGCCAACTTTGAATCCACCACAGGCGAGACTCCAGCCAAGTCTTCAGCTGCCAGCAGCCCCTCAAAGCCAAAGCAGGACCGGCGGCCTGGGGTGGAGGTGGACGCAGAGCCCAGAGTCTCCAGGCGGCTATATGAGCGCCTGACCTTCTTTGACATTTCCAAGTCTCTGGTGTCCAAGTCTCCTTTCCAGGAGTTGGACTCAGCATTCACAGAGCACAGCACAGGAGTGGAGGGGCCGGTGACAGGGACACTGCAGGTCTGGAAGAGGTCCTCCTTAGTAAGCTTCTTGCTAGGAGGGTTGTTTTCTTTCTCCAATAAGGAAGCAATCTGCAGCAGGACAGAAGAGAGAATGCCTCCCAGTTATTTAACTGTGTTACTGACTTCAAGAAAGGCCCAAGGAGATATAGGGTGAAAAGAAAGACCCACAGGACCTAAAATGACCATCCAGTCAATAAGTCCTCATTGGTCACCTGCCAGGCACTGGGAAGACAGCAGGGAAGAAAACAGAGAAGACCTGTTTCCACGGAGCTTCCATTCTAGTGGGGAAAACAGACCACAGGGGGAATCATGTCATATGTTCAAGGCATTAAGCACTTCAGGAAAAAAAACAGAACAGGATGGAGTGTATATGAGGTGAGCTAGAATATTACGTAGGTGTAGGTCAATGTAGGTCTCACCGAGATAGAGGTAGCACTTGATGGAAGCAAAGGAGTCAGTCATCCAGAGGAGAACTGTCCCAGGTAGAGAACAGAAAGTACAAAGTCCTGAGGTGAAACTGCCAGTCAGGGTCAAGGAACAAGAAAGGCAGTGAGGGTGAAGTGAGAGGGAGTGAGCCAAGAAACTGATGATGGGATTCAAGAGGTAACGTGGGTGTTATAGGGCGTGTTTCGCAGGCCACTATAAGGGGAGGCCCAGAGAGCCATGGCAAGGTTGTAAACAGGAAAGCACTTAATCTGACATATGTATTAAGACATTCACACACTGGTTTCTCATAACTCCAGTCTCAGCTCTAGTGCTGCTTTCTCAGAGAGGCCGTCCCTTACCAAGGAACTGAGACCAGCCCCTCCTTACCTCTGCCTGTCACTCTGTCACAGTGACCCCCTTCCTGGCCATTGGGATCACTACCTGATTTTGACTGTTTGCTGGTTGGCTGAGATCTCAACTAGAATGTGCATGTCACAGGTGAGCAGGTGTAGTCATCTGTCTGGTTGACCTGGCCTATGCCCAGTATCTTCAGCAGAGCCCTGCCTGGAGTAGGTGTTCAATACATAGAGGCTCAATTGACTTTCACAAAACTTGACACTGAGCTTGTTGATAACTAAGGTGAGAAACAGGACAAATTTAGTGACCCTTGTGGTTTAATAGAATTACATTAGTTATCATGAGAGACATTTCCTGGCTACAGGCCCTGGGGAATCTATCCCATCAATCTTAGTAAAAGGGATGCTGAACAAAACGAGGGTCACCCAGACTACCATTTTGTCAGTCCCCACGGCCATCCAAGTCCTTGTACATTTTTTTGGTCCAATATCTCATGAATCTATCATTCAACCAAAAAGAATGGCCACCATAAGGGAGACAGAAGACTGTCCTCAAGACAACAAATATACAAAGTACTCTTGGCTATTCATAATGCCTATCGGGAAGGATTCAGGGAGGAGGTATCCTCTGAGCTGAGTCCTGTGTGGTGGGGCTCTCCAGCAGTAGTCCAGCAACACTCTGCCTTTACCTTACTTCATGCTCCCAATGTCTCACTTTAGGACTCCTTTGATGTCCTCCTACTTGGTCTTGGAGTCCCAGAAGGCTTTCTCCAACCCATTCTCCAACTAGACCCAAGAAGGATCTTTCTAAAACACCCAAGGCTGCCTCAGTCACTACCTTGCGACTCTCCAAAGCTGCCCACAGAACGAAGGACGAAGTCCGAGTTCATCAGGATCTGCTCTGGCTGAACACACTCCTTCTCCTGACAAGGTCTACTGCAGACACATCCAAAGTGCTGTTCCTGAAACCTTGTGCTTTTCCTTGTGGACTCCAGGTGTCTACAAACACAGCTTCCTTTCCCTGGAACAATGCTAACTTGTCTTCAAAGACTCAGTTCAAACACCTTTGTGAAACATTCCCTGAGCTACCTGGTCTGGGTTAGATACCTTTATAGCATCTACTACTTTCTTTATTACAGTCCTCAGCATACTATGTTATCACTTGTTTTTCTCCCCAGTTGACTACAAGCCTTGGAAGCTACTCAAAGGCAGGTAACATTTCTCATTCATTATATCTTCAGGTGCAGATCTGTTAATGAGACACCTTTAACAATAACTTCTGCTAAAACAGTTCAAGACATTATAGGTTACTGAGAAAAAGAGGCTAGAAAGAAGAAAGAGTAGTAACACCCAGCTCAACTTTAAAAGGAAAATGGTAGAGAATACCAGGGCACTAAACGCACCAAGTGTGCAGGAAGTAAGCAAGCCTGACAACATATGTAGGTGTCCAAAGGCAAATTGTTTCAAAATACAGCAAAAACAACTCCCTGGGCAGACATGAGTGAGTGAGTGAAAGTCACTCAGTTGTGTTCAACTCTTTGTGACTCCAGTCCATGGAATTCTTCAGGCCAGAATACTGGAGTGGGTAGCCTTTCCCTTCTCCAGGGGATCTTCCCAACCCAGGAATCAAAGCCAGGTCTCCTGCATTGCAGGCGGATTCTTTACCAGTGGAGCCACAAGACATGAGCAGCCATTATATTCCGCCCCAGCTCTAGAGTGTATGTCCTGGATTCCCCTTAACTAAGAAAATGAAAATGAACTTACCCGGGGGCTTCTTCGAGGAGTGTTAACGGATGGGATCTGTGGAGACGAACTGATCACACAGCTGACTTCCAATCCTGGCTCCCCACCTACAACCCCTCTCTCAGCCCTCACCTCTACGGTATGCGCCACGATCTTCTTCAAGACGATGGGCTTTCTGACTGCAGCCTCCTGAGGCGCCTGGAGAAGAGCAGTGAACATGAGGTCTACATTAGCCCAGGGGATTCCGGGGCAGGAGGAACCTGAGGCTCACCTTAGGCCAGATTTCCGGGAGGGTGTTTGGAAGATCAGAGCCTGATTTCCGCTGGGACCTCCGCAGAGACCGAGTGGGAGTTGGGGCGCTGGGTCCTGCAATCAGAAAAATTTAGGAGATAGGGGAGGACTCTAGCCCTCAGAGTCTAGACAACAGGTTCTGAAGAAAGCGAGAAAAGGTTCCCAAACAGGCCCTTTGGGGGCGCCTTCCGGGCCAGGAGACGGGGGGCGAGGGCGTTCCTCACCGAACTGCGTCCCTCAAACGGCTCAACCTCACCTCCCCCACGCGCCCCCTCCGCTCACCGGGGCACTGGGCGGCCCCTCCGGACCGGGTTCGTCTCTCGGACATGTCTAGCTTTGGTCTCTATCCCCTCTGCCACAGGTGCCGCCGCCAGAGCTCGCGCCAACCCGAAAGGAAAGCGTTCGAATTACCCGCCTCGCCCGGGAGGAAGCGGAAGTGACGTGAGGGGGAGGGCCCCAAGCTCCGATCACTCCTTTTTCCACCCGCCTCCACGTCTAGCGTCTACAGGGGAGGGGCCACTGACCTCCTGACGTCATCAGCGCGCGCCGCACCCGGAAGAGACGTGGCAGCCGAGGGATAATCGGAGCGTTCTGAGCTGGAGAGAGCTGGGCGAGAGCTTGGCTGAACGTGGTCTGAAGGCCGGTGGTATCGGAGAGACTGATGGAGGGGCCTGCCCGAGGATGGGATGAGGGGCGAATGCGGGGGTCTCAGGAGGCGGGACTTATGCAGGGGCCGCGGCCCAGAATGTAGAGGGACGGTGGGCGGGAGCTTGGGGTTGGGGTGGTTACGAGCGGTGTCTAGGGAAGTTAAGAGTGGAAACAAACTGGGCTGGTATGTAGAGGTCAGCAGAACCTGGCTCCCTGCCAACTGTGACACCTTTCTCAGGGTCGACTATGGGACTTTGCAAGTGCCCCAAGAGGAAGGTGACCAACCTATTCTGCTTCGAACACCGGGTCAACGTCTGCGAGCACTGCCTGGTAGCCAATCACGCCAAGGTGGGTGTTCAGGGTAGAGCACCGCACTAGGTGGGCAGGTCCTACTGACTTCCTCCAAATTTATGAAAGGTCTGGCCCTAGAATGGAAGCTCCGCTAGGGCAGGGACTTCGTTTATTTTCTTCACTGTTGTATCCCCAATCCTTAAGACAGAGAGTGGCACATGATGTGTGCTCAATGAATGTTTATTGATTGGTCAAACAGAAGAATGAATCTCCTCTGTGATGACAGAAAAAGAGGCACCTGGGCCTTGGGGAGATGGGCTGTGGAGCCCTGGCTCAAGTGTGATCTCCTTCTCCCACTTCAGTGCATCGTCCAGTCCTACCTGCAGTGGCTCCAAGATAGCGATTACAACCCCAATTGCCGCCTGTGTAACATACCCCTGGCTGCTCGGGAGACAACCCGCCTCATCTGTTATGGTGAGGCCCGGGCACCTTGGGGGTGGGGATCTGGACAAGACCAGTGTGAGTGGTTTCCAGTGGCTCCCAAGCAGCAGGACAGTGAGACCTTCAAGCTTGGGAGGCCGGAACTCAGATTCTGGTCCCACTAGGTACCTTACTTGCTGTGTGAGCTCAGGCAAGTCATTTTCCCTTTCTAGGCCTTAGTGTTTTTCCCTAAAAACTAAGCTGCTAGCTTCCTCCCTGCCAATCTGTTGGGTGTGGTTGTGACTGTGAGCATTAGCTGGTTGTACCTGTAGTGAGCTGAAAGCATGGGGCTCTTAGATGTTCAGGATCCATTCCTAATTCCAACATTACACAGAGAGGAACCAAATTTCCCACAGTAACGTCAGTTAAAAGAAGTCAGCAGAGGCATGTGTTGTGATCTTGACCCGACTCTGCTGTAAGAGCCTTAGCTCCACTTTTTGAAGGAACTAGTGTAAGAGAGTGAGCTTAACATATGTGTTTCTCACTGTGAGTGTGTGTTTATATGTGCATGAGTTAAATGTGCATTGTGTCTTTATCTGTTAGTGTGTTCATTGGTACTGTGGGTGAGTGAATGGGTCAGTGTTGTATGTGAACATATGAGCACGTTGTGGGGTTGCAGAATTCCTGGGTGTGAATGCTTGGGTGTTAGCATACTTGAGTGTACGTGAGAGTTAGTGTGCCCATAAGTGTGGATACAGGGGATGGCACTTGTGTTTGACTACGTGTATATAAACGTGTGCATTTGTGCCGATGGATGTGTACATGCATACAGTTGCCTGTGTATATGTCTAGTAACCTTTTGAGCTCTTAGCCCAGTGAGTTTGTGATGAGTGCAGGTCCAGAGAGGACTCCTGGAGAGGGTAGGTGGCATATTCTTCCCACCTCCCCCCACCCCCTAGTGGGCTGGGCAGCCTGGTAGCATCTGCCTTGTCTTAGTCAAGATAGTGGTGGCCAGGAAGACCAAAGTCTTAAGGAACACTGATATAATTGACCTGGGAAGGAGGGGGCCCTGGGCTTACAAAGATGTGTGCAGATATCTCTGCAGTGGGCTAGTGGACTAGGGGTCCTAAGTGTTTTCTTCATGTCTCTTCTCCACTACTTCGTGGGCTCTAAGATCTCTTCCACTGGGCCTGCCTCAATGACCGTGCTGCCCAGCTCCCCCGAAACACAGCACCTGCTGGCTACCAGTGCCCCAGCTGCAGTGGCCCCATCTTCCCTCCAACTAACCTGGCCGGCCCTGTGGCCTCTGCGCTGAGAGAGAAGCTGGCCACAGTCAACTGGGCCCGGGCAGGACTGGGTCTTCCTCTGGTGAGAGTCTTTCTGCCCTGGGTCGCATCTGGCCAGAGGGGTGGATGCGGATAGCACTGGGCAGACTGGTGACATCAGTTCTTTCCTCCAGATTGACGAGCTGGTGAGCCCAGAGCCTGAACCCCTCAACACTTCCGAGTTCTCTGACTGGTCCAGCTTTAATGGTGAGTGGTGGTTTTCACTGCTGATGGGGTTCTTGCCTCCTTGCCCTGCTGACTGCTCTCTTCCTGCCCGTAGCCAGCGGTAGCCCCGAACAGGAGACAGCCAGTGCTTCTGCTGCCCCAGCCTTCTACAGCCAAGTCCCCCGGCCCCCTGCTTCCCCGAGCCGGCCTGAGCAGCACACGGTGATCCACATGGGCAATCCCGAGCCATTGACTCACGGTGAGCTGGAGAATTGTCCAGGCCAGAGGGGGATAGAATGGGGGGTGGGTATGTGGAGGGAGCTTGGCAGTCCACCCACCACCCACAGAACCCTTCCTGTTCCATCAGACATCACCTCCCCCACGATCCCAAGATGCTCTGTCAGGCTGAGAAGGGCTGGGGTCTCCTGTCCTCCCCCCTCCCCACCCCGCTCTGGGCCAGTTTCCTGAGCCTGTGGATGCCGGTGGCTCTGCCCCTGCAGCCTCAGCCCCGAGGAAGGTGTATGATACGCGGGATGATGAGCGGGCACCAGGCCTCCATCGGGATTGCGATGACGACAAGTACCGGCGCCGGCCAGCCCTGGGCTGGCTGGCCCAGCTGCTCAGGTACATGGGGTCAGGTGGGGCAGGAACGGGGAATGCTAGGAACGGGGAGGTGGGGAGGTGAGAGCCAGAGGCCCTGGCAGGACGGTTTCATGATAAAGGAGGCCTGTCCTGGGTAGTAACGGGACCTGGTGTTGGGGCCCTGCACGGAGGCCTGGGCTGGGGTCTGCCTCTCTCCAGTTCTTTCCTCGCTTGCTATGTATGAGGTTCAGACTCAGGCTCTTGAGGTCCCTTCCTGCTCTGACACCTTCCCGGTCTTTGTGACCCCTTACGCCTGACACATTCAGGCTTCTAGAAAACAGCTGTTGCCTCAGCTGCTTTGAGCTGCACGATCATCCTTGTAGCGGGCAGGCGCAGGGATGAGCCGCCCCCTCTGCCCCCACAGCACATTTGAGGAAACAAGGCTCAGGGCTGGTGGCACTGGGGCCAGAAGACGAGGGTCGTGGCTGGCACTCCTCTCCCAGCCACAGGGCCACCAGGGACCAGAGGCCTGACCTGACTTTCCCCTCACCCCCCCAGGAGCCGGGCTGGGTCCCGTAAGCGGCCGCTGACCCTGCTGCAACGGGCGGGGCTGCTGCTGCTGCTGGGGCTGCTGGGCTTCCTGGCCCTGCTGGCCCTAATGTCTCGCCTGGGCCGGGCTGCAGCTGACAGCGACCCCAACCTGGACCCGCTCATGAACCCTCACATCCGTGTGGGTCCCTCCTGAACCCTTGCTTATGGCCGGGCCAGCCTAGGACCTGGGGGCCTGAGGAGGGGGTAGGGGAGGGCGTCTGGGGGGCCCTTCCCTGTTGCTCTCTCTCAAGCCTGAGACACTAAGATCCCAGACCCAAAGTCAAGTCCACCAGAGTGGTTGCAGGCTAGGCCTGGGGTCCCTGCGGATCAAGCATTTGACCTGCTCCTCCTGGGTCTCCAGCTTCCCCCCCCGCCCCCGTCTCCCCATTTTTCCTGCCGACCAAAAGGAGCCAACAGGTGGAAATAAATGATAAGACTTTATTAAAACACCCGAAGCAGCCTTTTCCTTCCCCCTTCTCAGCCCGGGTCCCAGGCTTCAGTGGCTCTCTTCCCGGTACTGGATGGCGAGAAACTCCAGGGACAGGCGGTTGAAGAACATGGCCCCGTTGAGAACTGGGCAGAGGAGAGAGCCCCCGTCAGCCTTGCCTGGCCCCTCCTTGCTGTGTCTCCGCATTCCAAAGCTTCCCCCTCCCCGAGTCCACCTCCCTCCCCTACTCACTCAGGATGGTCAGGGAAAAGCAGCGAAGAAACTTGTCATATGTCATCTCAGCGTAGAGTGACCCCATGGCGGCCCAGCAGATGCTGATCACCTGGGAGAACTGTAGGCCCCATCCCGTGGGAGAGTGGCCCCTGACACAACAGTGGGGTTTCCATCAGCCCCTGGGCCTGCCCGGACCACCTCTCAAGCCCCCGCCCTGGCCTACCATCAGGACAACAGTGTAGCGGAAGCTCATGCGGTCGTAGCGGTAGGTGACCCAGAAGTTGTGCACGTCACTGGCAAAGACAGCCAGGTGTATGAAGAAGAGCATCAGCGCGGCCATGGTGAGAATCATGCCTTGTGGGAAGAAGAGCACGGCCACGCGGTCCCGCCACCGCATCATGGCTGGAGCACGGACTCAAGGCGGGCTGCAGAGCTTGAGCAGGCAGACGCTATCCAGGAAGAGCAGCTGACCCCTCTGGTTCTAGAGCGTCCAGCCTGGAATAGCTGTGGGATTCTAGAATAAGAAGGACATTACAGAGAACAAGATTCTAGAACATGGGCTGGTTCCGGCCAATACAGGGGTGTTTCATGGATGGCCAGGGCAGCTCTGAATTGGTGGAGGGCGCCAGGCTAAATGTACAGAGCAGGGGGCCCTATCGGAGGAAGGGATAGCGCTCCTCATCCCAGTTTGTGCTCTGGTGTGAGTCTTCTCACTGAGTCTGCAACATGTCCACGCTGGAGGTAGTGTGGTCACATTCCACAGATGAAGAACTGGGATCCAGAAAAGGGGAGGGGCATGTGGATCCACAGCACCTTTTAGGTGGGTGAGAGGTCAGGTGTGATACCTATTCAAGCCTTTCCGGTGTAACTGGAGGGTGTAACCAGGTGAGGGCAGGCCTGAGCTGGATCACAAGCTCCAAGTATTTGTTCCAGCTCCTGATGGAAGGGAAGGGACAGTGGATCCTCCATAGCTGTCCTGGGACCTTCCCACACCCTCCCCAGGCATGGCCTGGAGAGCAACTGGCTTTTCCATCTTCTCCCAGATGTTCTTCCAACACATGATGCTGACCAGCTCTCCCCTCTGCCACCTTCCTGCACTTGGCATCTTCACACCTGTTGCCTCTACTGTGCCAGGAGTCCCAGGAGAAAGCTGGGATTGGTGGCACAAAGCCTATTTTACACACAGACCTGGGGCACAGAGAGGGATTGTCTGCTCAAGTTTTCACAGACAGTAAGGGACTTGGTACTGAGACTAAGGTCCAGTTCTACCCAAGGCTGTGGAATGGCCAAAACAGAAGCCAAGAAAAGAAAACTGTATATGTGAGAGGTGAGAACTCCAGGACTGTCAACAAAATAAGGCTGAAAACTGGCCCCAAATGGTGTGGAGGGACGTGCAATCTCCCAGGAACTAAAGTAGAAAAAGTTGATTTTGAACTTGGCCAGCCCCACTGCCTCCTGCCTGACTGCCCCAGAAGTCAGGTCCCAGGCCTGGCCTAGATCTGAAATCTGCCTTTGGGAGGAGTAAGGTTAGAGCCTGACCCCATCAACCGTGGTTGCTGCCCAGTGTCATTAATCACAAAACCCTCAGACCTCATCTTAACACATTGAAGGGGTGATGCCTGACCACCCGCTGTGTTCACACTGTTGAAATACTTGTTCACACTTTAGGTTTCATTTGAATACAGATCAACTTTTTTTTTTTTTTTTGGTTAGGTCTCCTGCCTCAATGCCATTTTAAAAAGTTATCCAAGTAGAGTATGTTCTTGAGGAAGATTTGCATGATTCCCAAGCATACAGAGGAATCTTCCTCCACACCCTTCCCACAGAAGTAACCCTTCAACAGTTTGGTGAGTGGGCATCTTTTGAGTCCCTTCTTGATATAACTTCATACACCTGCATGTATGTATCTACATGCGTAATTTTTAAAAAAATCACACCATACATATTGTTAAAATATAATTTTAAAAAAAGTTAATATGGGACTTCCCTGGTGGTCCAGTGGCTAAGACTCCATACTCCCAATGCAGGTGGCCCGGGTTCAGTCCCTGGTCAGGGAACTAGATCCCACATGCCACAGCTAATACCAGGCAAAGCCAAATTACATATTTTAAAAGTTAAAAATATACTTACAGAATAAACACATAACTAAGATACATTAACTCTCCAGTGAAGGGATTCCCCCTCATGTGTAATGCATCATGAGGAGCTAGGTATTGATAGGCATTTAAAGAAGAGTGTTAGGACATGATTACTAGATACAAGATTGGTTGATGTCCTACAGGGCAATAAAAACAAAAATTTGAGGTTATTTTTCCACTGGATATTTCCACTGGAATTGTTTCACATCTCTCTAACTATCTAAATAGCAAGAGCAAACAAATGTACACTCCTATGGGTAATTAAATGGTCCTTGGGTGGGCTTGTGAAACAATGCCCCAGTATGGTATTGGAAGGTCATGCTACACTGTCTTTATTCCAACTGTTGGATAATTTTTCTTAACAGTATTCTGTGATTTTTTTAAGTTTATAGATTTCCTGGAGTAGATCTAAATCTTTATACTCTTGTCTTCATTTTTCTTAAGATGATAGCTTCATAAGCTGAAATCTTCATATATATATATTTTTAGACAGTCTCTGAATATCCCATAGATGCAGGGGTCAACAAACTTTCTGTAAAAAACAAGATAGTAAATGGTTTAGGTTTTGCCCGCCAAAGAATAAATAAAGTGGTTTTCATTCCACCCCGGACCTCCACCCCATCATGTTTCAAAGACCACACTGACAAAGTCTTTTTCTCCCTTTTCATCCATTCAAACACAGGGTGTCTCGATTTGAACTCCCAAGTCTTTCCTTACCTTCAGTTCTTTACTTCAGTGAACAGCTGTACATTTGTCCCAACCAGAAACCTGAGAATTATCTTCAACACCTCCACCTAACCCCTCAAGGCAGCACATTTCAACAGTCACTTGAAGAAACAAAGTGTTAGTCTTTCAGTAGTGCATGGGCTGTAGCCTGGCCAGGTTGCTCTGTCCATGGGATTTCCTAGGCAAGAATACTGGAGTGATTTGCCATTCCCTTCTCCAGAGGATCTTCCCAACCCAGGGATGGAACCCAGGTCTCCTGCATTGCAGGAAGATTTTTTACCACTGAACCATCAGGGAAGCCTTATCAGTGACTTAAGATCTACCAAGTGTGTCTTCTCAGGGTATAACAGGAGTTCTCAAATTTAAGTGCATCAGAATTACTTAAAGACTTAAAAAAAGAAGCTAGGTCTAAGGGGAGCCCAGAGTCTTTACAACTCTACACAGGTTAATTCTGAAGGCCATTCTGATGCGCGTCAGAGGACCAGGCCACGAGAAACACTTCTCTTGAGGCACTGTGGTTGTCCTTTAGTCCCCAAGTCGTGTCTTTGAGACTCCACGGACTGTAGCCCGTCAGGCTCCATGGGATTTTCCAGGTGAGAATATATGCATTTAATCCTCACAGTACCCTTGTGAAATATGTACCCCGATATTAGGAATGAAGGAAAATGAGCTGCTGCCCGCCCCCTCTTCCCCCAACAAGGCAGTGGCAGGATGCCAGGCACACGCTTTCTGGCTCCACTGGCCCGCGCTCCCTCCACTGCATCTAGGGACATATGGTGGAAGCCACGACTCGTCCTCCTTCCGGGAAGACAGCGACCCAACCAGTTCTTCCATCTGAGAAGCTGAAGGGGAACCCAGGGCTCTCCCGGAACCGCTGAGCTCGGGGAGAAAACATGCGGGGGAACTCTAGTCTCGAAGGACTCGAGGCTGCAGGGGGACGTTTCACCTGAAGGACTGCCTCGTTTCAACAACAACTTTATGGCTCCCGGAAGTGCCTCCTCCCTGTCCCCTGCCCGGCCTCACGCCTGTGGGTTGCACTTGGAGCCATGGCGGCGGCAGCCGCTGCGCCTGGCCCAGGGTCTGGACCTGGGGACTCCCCGGAAGGACCCGAGGCGGAGGCTCCAGAGCGTCGGCGGAAGGCGCACGGAATGCTGAAGCTTTACTACGGCCTCTCAGAGGGGGAGGCGGCGGGACGCCCCTCGGGGCCGGACCCCTTGGACCCTACCGATCTCAATGGGGCGCACTTCGACCCGGAAGTATACCTGGATAAGGTGTGTGTAGGGGGAGGGGGAACAGGCCCCTGATATATTACGCCCCAGATCATGCCTCCGACTTTTTGCGGAGGTGTGGGAGGAAGGGTTCATAAAAGCAGGGCAGCCCTGGGCGGAGCTGTAGGGGCAGAACTGGAGGATAAGGGTGCGTGGGCAGACCTTAACTGGCCTGAGGTGGTGTGAAGTCTGAGGTCTCCTGGGCTGATGTTCAGATAGACCCGAAATAGGGGGCGTGTCCCAGGCGTTGACTGGCATAGAAAGGACCAGGACTTGCTAAATCTGAGAATTTGAAATGCTGACAAACCTCAAATAGAGTCTAACCTGGTAACTCTTGAGCTATGCCACTTATAGTTTCCTTGTCTGAAATTCTTGACAGGGGTGGGATCAGGATTTTCTTGCCCCAAAAGCCTACCAGTTGGGGACATGAATGCCCCCTGTCCTGAACACTAACCACCTAATTTCCTCCAGCTGCGTAGAGAGTGCCCACTGGCCCAGCTGATGGACAGTGAGACGGACATGGTGCGGCAGATCCGGGCTCTAGACAGCGACATGCAGACCTTGGTCTATGAGAACTACAACAAGTTCATCTCAGCGACAGGTGATTCCTGAGTGAGTGAGTGAGTGAGTGAAGTCGCTCAGTCGTGTCCGACTCTTTGCGACCCCATGGACTGTAGCCTACCATGCTCCTTCATCCATGGGATTTTCCAGGCAAGAGTACTGGAGTGGGTTGCCATTTCCTTCTCCAGAGGATCTTCCCAAGACTGGGACACAAATCCTCACAGTCCCACATGCCCCAGTTCCTTCAGTGTTGGGGAAGCCAGCAGAGGATTTAGACAGAGCAGACCCAGATTATGGTCCTGCCCTGACGCGAATCCACTCTCATCTCTCTCTCAGAGCTTTTGTGGTTTGATAACCATTGAGGTAATAACTGTTCTCAGAGGGTTGTTTTGAGGACCAAAAGGGAGAAAAGGACAAAATGAAATTTTAAAAAGAAATTAATTTATCTGAAGCACTTAGAATCTCTGACACTAAGGAAGCCTCAGTGACAGTTTCTTTCATTAGTGGTAGCTTTCTTTTGTTTCAAGTCTGAATCAAGAATGGGCTTATTTCTCTTTTCTTCTTTCTCCCTCTTCTTTCCTTTCTTCCTTCCTCTTTCCCCTTTTCTTCTTCCTTTCTCTTTTTGTAAATGAAGCAAAGAGACAGAAAATATATGTCATTAAGGAACGAAGATCATGTAAAGGCGTCCCTCCATCCCTTTTTGTTCGATTTATTCTCTGTTCAAGACAGTGCTAGACAGTGTTCAGCTTTCATCCACACTAGCTTCTGTCCTGTGTTGGGCAAAGGTACTGCTCAGACTTGTGTAATAATTTTGGACCCACA